CTGCAGCGAGAACTGCCAGCATCTGAGCCAGACTCTGTCTGTCTCTCTCATCGTGGTCACCTAAATGCACAGTAATGGCAGGTTTTGTAATAAGGCAGATCACGCTAACATAATATGAACTGTTAGTTGATTATTTACCTGCCGCATTAACGGGAGAGGACGTGCAAACGTTACCGCTGCTGCTGGGTTGAGATTCACGAGTCCGGAGCGGAATTAAAAACACGACATTCATTTAAGGTCATCACGCGTTTTGTGAGCAAATGCTTTTACATATTCGTAGTGTTTCCTCCCTTAAATGAAATGTCTACTTTGCAAGTATTGCAAGTTGCCCTGTTGTCATCCGTTCTTGTAAAGTATAATCAAACTTTTGAGCGTTTGAGCCGCTTAGGCGCTGTGTTTCCTGCCAGGTAAGCGAAGCTCCGCAACGTGGTGACGTCATTCGGGGCGACTGGAATCGATAACGGAATCGTTTGCAAAAATGGCAAACAATTCCAAGGAATTGAAACAGTGGGAACTGGTTTTCAACAAGAACCGGTTTTCGATACCCATCCCTAAACATTAGTGAATCAGTCTGTGCGCTTGATTTCTTTGTTCCTCCTCCTATATTTAGGACCTTGAGAAAGGAACTCCCAGAAATGCATATGCAACATGATCAGCCGCAATAAGTCTCAGTTCCCACCTCTTACAGTCTCCTCACTGTAAATACAGACAGTATTTTTTTTATTTTTTTTAATGGAAAAACCAAGTTTGTGCTGGTGCAGCATGTTAGTAAATCTTCCCTTATAACTTCCTGCAGCCCTAAACATGCGATTTTATTTGCCACACATAAATTTACCTGCTGAGGGCGCGTGCGTTTAGAGATTCCTGGCAGCTGAAAAAAATACGTCTTTTAACTCTGCGACAGAATAATGCAGATATTTCCACAATGTAAAGGCCATCTCTCTGCTGTCATTCAAGCTGACCTTAACAGAAACGTGGCCACAGCCATAGACTAGATGCACTCCAGTAGTCAGAGGGAGATAGAAACGATGTGAACGTGTGTGAGATTGTAAAAAACTATTTCTTTATGCAAGTCACATCAAACAGAGCTCGGAATAGGGAACAGTAATAGGTTCCCTATAATAGGAAAAATGCTGATGGCCGTCATTACACGTATGCAAGCTTTGTTAGTTGCATGTCTCACATATAACAGGTTAGAAAAGGTGAGAAATTCTTCCATTCACAGCGAGAAAAAGGTGTTGTTTTACCCTGTGCTGTAGCCCAAAATATACCTTTATCTTACATTCATAAAGCCGCAGAGTACGACCGCTGCTTTTCTTCATACGCCTTTTTTTTCCACTCTGACCTTTAACATACTTTGTTGAGAGAGAACAGAGTCTTACTGCTAATGCTAAAGGCTTAGTTTGGTTTCTGTCCTCCACAGCTCTGCTTTTTATCCGTGTCTTGTTTGCGTTCCTGTATCTTTTCTCTTTCCCTGCCGTCCTCGTCCCTCCGTCCCTGTCGGAGTTAAAATCTGCAGTCAGTCGTTGCGTTTCAGTGTGAGATTGTTAGAAAGAAATGGACGGTCATGGACAGAATCAGGTGAGATTACACTTGGTAGAGGTGACGATTGTGCTGAATGGTATTGTATGGAATGATGCGCAGTCTTCTACAAAGGCATGAAATTGTCAGGAGTGTATCAAAGGTGGAATTGTGTAGTATGACTAACATAGAAAAAGGCTCGTGAATAGCATGGCGCT